AACTCGGGATACGCCCAGAGTCACGGAACGCATTAAGTTCGTATCCCGAGGTATCACTGTACTTTCACACATAAATATTATGATTTGATACACTTGTCTGCCTGCCAGCCTGCCTGCCTATCGATTATACTTTAACCAAACAATTCACATCATATTAATTCAATTTTTTAAAAAAATCTATGTATTATTGTGCTTGTCTTGCTCTTTTCCCTCAAGAACAGAATTTCATACTGAATAACTTCATATTGTTGAGTATCTTTAATCTAATAGATTTCTTGTATATCATTGATTTTAGTGTTCTGTTTTGCATTTGCTTTTGCTGTTACTCTGGTACACCTCTTAGAGTCTTTAAATTGAAGCAGTTTATTAATTTCATAAATAAAGTAAAAGTAAAATAAATCCTGAAGACTGTGCCAACTGATGTTAGTTTCAATTTATTTCAGGCAAACAATTAAAGCATCATAGCAAATATGGCCTAATTTTATTTATGTTTCCCACTTATTATGATTAGGCTTCAGGCTTCTCAAAACAATCTTGTAAATCAAAATGATGAGCAGATTGTCCTCTTTCTCATAAAACCTGATTTTTAAAAAATCCTTACCATGGTATAGTTTTGTTCTTTATTCTCCCTTTATCCGTCCCAATGGGACATGATTTTTTCCTTCAGTATCATTATAGGCCATTCAAATCTCTTGTGAGGCTTTTTGATTTTGGGACATAGTGCTAAAATCTTGATTAGGCCAATTACCATTCCTAGATGTGGGAAGTGGGAACAAAAGTGTTGGGAAGACAGTGGAAAACCACTTCTCTATTCTTGCCAGTGAAATTATGGAGACATTTTCATGTATTTACCACAAGTCAAACTTGCCTCACGCTAACTCTTCTATTCCTTCACAGTTTCATCTTCTACCAAATCAAACACCCCTCAGATGCAGGAATCACCTTAGGGGAAAAATGCCTTCTATTGGTGCAAAGTCTGCTTTTCTAAGCTTGGGAGTAAGGGAGGAGGGGAGATGGCTACAAAGGAAAGTGTGGAGAAAGAAGGAAGAGAAGGAGAGAAAGTGGTTGTATGAACAGAGTGTGTGGGAGAAAGAATGGGATGCTGGGGGCAAAATGAATGAGGGTTGAATAGGGTGCATTTCCAGAGATGGAAAATGGGAAGTGTTCTTAGGAAAAGAGATTGGAGAGATGATAATAGGATAGGAAGCATTCTTTTGTGAATGGATGACTAGATATTTGTGTGTGCGTGTGTGCCTTCAAATCAGTTTTTGACTCCCGGCAACTGCCTGGACCAGTCCCTGCAATTTTCTTGGCAAGATTTTTCAGAAGTGGTTTGCCATTGTCTCCTTCCTAGGGCTTTCTTCCTAGGACTGGCCCAAGGTCACCCAGCTGGCTTTGTGCCTAAGGCAGGACTAGAACTCATGGTCTCCCGGTTTCTAACCTGGAGCCTTACACCAAAGCGGCTCCAGGTGACTAGAAACTATATGAGAAACCCAGAATGGGAGGAAGCTGTAGCCCCACCCATTTATGGTTCCTACCTGTTCTCCCCTGACCTGTGGTCTTCAGATGAATGTGTTTGGGAGCTTGCTTACTCCAGCCTTTTGCAAACTGGTATTTTGGGGACAGCTCCTTCCAGAATAGCTAGACTGCCCAGCATTGACTATTCTGGCTGAGGAGGACAACAGCTGCAGTTCCAAAGCTTTGCAAGGCACTAGGCTGGAAAAGGCTGTTTTAACTGATGCTGGTTTCATATTTCAGTGCCAAAAAACTGCATCCTTCAAAATTCCTTCCACACAGTTGGATACAGAATCCACATAAAATCATTCACATATATCTGTTCTAATAAAGAAGAACTTTCTTTCCTCCCGTTTCCCATTTTATGAAGATATATTTTGGTGATGACAGCTGCACTGGAGTTGGCAGCAATGGGACTTTTATGTGGACTAAAACTAAACTGGAATATTTTTAATCTTAAAGTAAATATGAATCCAGATAAAACAACTCTGCTTCCCAACTGAAATACAGAATTTCCATCCGCCACTTACCTTAATTAGTGTCATTTGACAGAGAGAAATGGAATACATCATTGGATGGCAGACATGAAATGGATGTTTCTTTTTCCCCATTGTCTTGATTATGTGAGCTCCACATCTTGGGAATGCTTGATTAGAAGAAACTGGAAGAAATAATAGCAATGCTGGCTAGTTGTGTTTATTTCCTCAGACAAAAAGCAGCCTAACCTCTTTCAGCTTTTTTAAAAAAATTACTCAGCTGAGATGCAATTAGTGAAAACAAGGAAGTCATTTATTATAGGATTACCCAGGAAAGGAAAAAGGGAAGGTTAAGGAAGAGGAAAATAAAGGCACTGATTCTGAACCTTAAATTGTAGTCTTTAGTAATGGGTAAATGGAAACTGTTCAAGGAGAGAAAGAATTGATGGAGTACAGTTACCAAATCTGAGTTGCAAAAATCAGGAGGACCATTAGATGTCAGCAAAGAGATATACAAAACTCAAATTCTTTGCTATCGTCTTGTGGTTTCGATTTTTGCAGGCCAAATCTGGTAGCTCTGTAATGGAACAGGGCCACTTCCTTTCTCTAGCTGTTACTTGCGGAAAGTTAAACGAGACATTTAACAGACTCGGCCCTTAAATCAACATGCACAGGATTGATCTGAATATATCATAAATAGGCCCAAGAGCATATGAAAGAGTACTAAATTATAATACATTTCATGTTGTGAAGAGAGTAAAATAAATGAAGTCTTGGTCAGTTAGATCCAATAGGCATAATCTAAATATTATATATGTTTTTCTGCATTTTGGGGGGGAGAGGGTAGATTTTCCCCGCCACTACCACAGTTTCAACTAAGTGTATGTTGTTCCCTTTGAACACTCTACTCCTTTGCCTGCTCTAATGAGCTGGACTCTATTTTTGCCCCACAACAGATGGAAAAAAGCCAGTATTTAAAAAGATTAGAGGAACAGGCAAACGGTTACTCCTTCAGGCATGCATTCAGGGTCTTTGTCCTTTCTGTCCAGCCCAATAGCAGGCTGCCAAGTTCAGGTTGCAAAATCTGCAAATAAGAAGACGAAAGCAATCTGTCTGGTGGTCTGCTGGCGATCAGTGCAGGTAGTTCTGAGACAGAAGCACCAACTACCTGCAGCAAAGAAGGAATTTTGACTGGAAGGATCTGGGAAGAGGGCCTTTTCTGCTGTGGCCCCTGCTCTATGGAACAATCTTCCTCCCGAGGTGCGGAGTGCACCCACTCTCATGGCCTTTAGAAAAGGTGTAAAATCCTGGCTGTGCCAGAAGGCCTGGGGGCAGGATGGGGACTCGTGTCAGTGGAAGTGGCTTGTGGGGTCATTGATTCTACCCCCCCCCCGTCATCTTGAATGACTTTAGTATTTATGCATAGGGTTTGTTTTTAGTGGATTTTAATGGATTGAGTATTTAATTATTTATGGGATATTTTAATTGTTTATAGGTTTTTGATTTTTAATTGTGAGCCGCCCAGAGTCACCCATTGGGGTAGATGGGCA